GACTACCATGTAAATGAAGTAACTTTTGGGACATACTTCTTTTTTTTTTTTTTGAGACAGAGTCTCACTTTGTTGCCCAGGCTAGAGGGTGTGGATGGCGTCAGCCTAGCTCACAGCAACCTCAAACTCCTGGGTTCAAGCAATCCTACTGCCTCAGCCTCCTGAGTACCTGGAACTACAGACAGGCGCCACCATGCCCGGCTAATTTTATATATATATATTAGTTGGCCAATTAATTCCTTTCTATTTATAGTAGAGACAGGTCTGGCTCTTGCTCAGGCTGGTTTTGAACTCCTAACCTTGAGCAATCCGCCCACCTTGGCCTCCCAAAAAGCTAAGATTACAGGCGTGAGCCACCTCGCCTGGCCTGGGACATACTTCTGATTGGCTGACTACTATGTAAATGAAGTGACTTTTGTGAAAACTTGCCATTGGCTAACTGTAACCCACAAAAAGGTATAAAACTAAAAGAAAACGAAAAAGGGGCACTCAGAGTTTGGTGGCAGATATGTCTCTCTGAGCCTGCCAGCAAAATAAAGCTGACTCTCCAACTCTCCGTGTGCCACTCGGATTTTTCTTCGGCCAAGAGCTGTTCACACCTGCTGGAACAATACCTCAACAAAATAAAGGCCATATATGACAAGCCCACAGCTAACAGCATATTTAATGGTGAAATGTTGAAAGCTTTCCCTCCAGGGTGAGAAACAAGAGAAGGATATCCACACTCACCACCTCTATTCAGCATGGTACTGGAAGTCCTATCTAGAAAAATTAGGCAAGAAAAAGAAATAAAAGGCATCCAAATCAGAAAGGAAAAAGTACAATTGTCTCTGTTTGGAGATGACATGATCTTATATATAGAAAACTCTTGAGACTCCACCAAAAAACTGTTAAAAGTAGTAGACAAAATTCAATGAGGCTGCAGGATACAAAATTAACATACAAATATCAGTTGCATTGTTAGGTAGATAGCAAGGGATTTCAGGTCTGCTAAGGACAAAAGTGAGTGCTGTTGCTTTGATACAATTGGCACACCTGGGAAGAAGTTCCTCATCTTGGTCCTGCCCCACCCTAATCTCCTGAAGACTGCCATACCTGAGGAGGAGGGAATACTCTATGAATCTGCCAATCAACTTAGTGTACCAGCTGCAAAAGAATGCCAAGGACTCTCTAGCCCACGGGCCAAGCAGCATAGGTACCATACAGTCCAGAAATTGACCTAGAACAACCCGCACACATAGTAATGCAACTCCCAACTGTCCACAATCAAAGTGGTTCCATGGTGACATCTAAGCCACTAGGTAGGTTCCAATCTGGGCACTATAAAACAAGACGCAAGCCATAACCAAGTCTCTTTTTGTGCCCTTCCTTTGGCTCTCCCTTTAGCTGCAACAGTAGTTCCGGTCGTCATATGCAGCGTATGTATTATGCTCTGTAAACCTGTATCTTGTTCTTTCCCTATAATCCTACCTTTCTCTCCTCAATAAACCTCACTTTCATGCTTGCCTTACTTTGGTGCTTCTGGTCATTCTTCAGCCATGAGCACATCAAGAACCAACATTTTCACACTATAACCTGACAGCATTTCTATACAATAACAAAGAGCCACTCAAATAGGAAATTAAGAAAACAATCCCATTTACAACAGCATAAAAAAATAAAACACTTAGGAATAAAATCAACAAAGGAGGTGAAAGATTGTTACATTGAAAATTATAAAATATTGATGGAAATTGAGAAAGATACAAATAAATGGAAACTGTAAATGGGAGAGAAACCAAATTCTGTAATATAATTTAAAGAGGTTTATTCTGAGCCAAATTTGAGGACCATGGCCCAGAGCCATGGCCAAGAAGCCTTGAACAAGTAGACTCGCTGTGGTTGGGTTACAGTTTGGTTTTATACATTTCAGGGAGAAAGGAATTACCGGTAAAGCCATAAATCAACACATGGAAGACATACATTGATTTGGCCCGAAGGGTAGGACTTCTCAAAGCAGGGGCTTCTAGGTTATAGGTGGGGTTTTTTTGTTTGTTTGGTCGGTTTTTATTTTGTTTTTTGTTTTTTGTTTTTTTGAGACAGAGTCTCACTTTGTTGCTCAGGCTAGAGTGAGTGCCATGGCGTCAGCCTAGCTCACAGCAAGCTCAGACTCCTGGGCTCAAGCAATCCTGCTGCCTCAGCCTCCCAAGTAGCTGGGACTACAGGCACGCGCTACCATGCCCGGCTAATTTTTTCTATATATATATTAGTTAGCCAATTAATTTCTTTCTATTTATGGTAGAGACGGGGTCTCGCTCTTGCTCAGGCTGGTTTCGAACTCCTGACCTCGAGCAATCCGCCCGCCTCGGCCTCCCAGAGTGCTAGGATTACAGGCGTGAGCCACCGCGCCCGGCCTTATAGGTGGGTTTTTAAAAAACTCTTTGACTTATAATTGGTTGAAGAAATGAAGCTTTGTCTAAAAGCTTAGAATGTTTTAAGTCAAAATAAGGAAGTTTATTAATCAGAGACAAGCTATTGGCCATATATTTGTTGAGTAAATTGAGGACCTGCAGGTTTGTCTTCTACAGCATTAGGCCTGTTAATGAGTTAGGAAGGATAGCTCCAAGAAAGGAGGAGAACATAATGATGCATGCCTGACCTCCCTTTTCATGGCCAAATCAGTTTTAGGGTAATTCCTTGGCCAAGAGGGGATCCATCCAGTAAGCCATTGCGGGGGGGGAGTCTTAAGAATTTATTTTAGTTCAGAAAAGATTACTCCTGTTCCTGTATTGCAAGAATTAATATTGTAAAAATGTCCATAACTCCCAAAATAGTGTATACATTCAATAAAATCCCTATTAAAATTCCACATCAACAGAAAAAATAACCCTAAAATGCATATGGATTCATAAAAGACCCTAAATAGTCCAAGCTATCTTGAGAACAAATATGAAAGCTAGAGGCATCACTTTATGATGTCAAACTATATTACAAAGCTATATAATCAAAACAGTATGTCACTGACATAAAATCAGAAACATAGACCAATATAATAGAATAGAAATCCATGCTTATATGGCCAACTACTCTTTGACAAAGACACCAAGAATATACAATTAGGAAAGGCAAGTTTCCTTAATGAATGATGTTGGGAAAACTGGATATCCATGTGCAAAAGAATGAAACTGGATTCTCTTCTTATACCATGCACAAATGTAACTCAAAATAGATTAAATATTGAAATGTAAGACCTGAATCCATTAAACTTCTAGAAAAAACACAGGAAAAACTTCCAAGATATGGGTCTTGGCGATGTTTTTTTCAGGTATGACACCAAAAACACAGGCAACAAAAGCAAAAGTAAACAAGTGAGACCATGTCAAACTAAACTTTCTTCATAGAAAAAGAAACAATCAGTGAAAATGAAAAGACAACCCACAGATGGGAGAATGTATTTGCAAATCATACATCAGATGAGTGGTTGATATTCAAAATATATAAGTAACTCTCACAACTCAATAGCACAAAAACACAATTAAAAAAAATAGGCAACAGACCTTAATAGATATTTCTCCAAAGAAGACATAAAAAATGACCACCAGGTATAT